GGAAATCCTTCTCAGGAAGGATGGGTACAAAACAGCTCAAACTGCGAAGACTATGATAAACCTAACTCTTCAACGCCCTGACACTCACAAACATCCGCAAGCATCAAGATTATCTATAACCTCACAAAATGAACAAAATAAGCTACCAAGTACAAACCCTGGAGAGACAGTGACACATGAGTTTTCAAAATAGCTGTTTGAGGAAACGGGGAAACTCAAGATAACACAGAGAATGAACTGAGATTCCTACCAGGCAATTTTTTTTTTTTTTTTTGAGATGGAGTTTTCTTCTAACCCCCAGGCTGGAGCACAGTGGCACAATCTTAGCTCATGGCAACCTCCGCCTCCTGGGTTCAAGTGATTCTCATGCCTCAGCCTCCCAAGTAGCTGAGACTACAGGTGCACACCACCATGCCCAGTTATTATTATTATTATTATTTTTTTTTTTGTATTTTTAGTAGAGACGAGGTTTTACCATTTTGGCCAGGATGGTCTCAATCTCTTGACCTTGTGATCCACCCACCTCAGCCTCCCAAAGTCTTGGGGTTCCAAGCGTGACCCACCATGCCTTGCCAGTCCTACCAGACAGATTTTAATTTTTTGTTCATTCTATTATCCAGGCATAGCTTGTTTTATTGCACATTACATTACTGCCCTTCCCAGATACTGCATTTTCATAAATTGAAGATTTGTGGTAACACTGCATCAAGTGAGTCAATTTGTGCCTTTTTTTCTAACAGTGTATGCTCACTCTGTGTCTGTTTCAGCATTTTGCAGCAATAAAGTATTTTTAAATTAAGGTATGCACATTGGTTTTTTAGACATATGCTGTTAAACAACAGTATACTGTAAGCATAACCTGTATATGCACTAGGAAACCAAAAACAGTGTAACTCAGTTTATTGCAATATTTGTTTTATTTCAGTGGTCTGAAACAGAACCAAAAATAACTGAGGCGTGCCTGCTCTGCATAATAACAAGCAATATATGTGTGATTTATATTGATATATGGTTTATCGATCATTATTTTTAAGAGGCAGGATTTTGTAAAGTTAGTGTCATTTCCCATTTTGTGTTATTTACAGTTCTAATGATTGATTAAGATCATTTATAAGAAGTTTGAGGCAGATTGGGGCATTTTACATTTTTTTTTTTTTAATCTCTGGAGGTTTAAAGTGCAGTCTTGCACTACATAATGACATTCTGGCCACTGATAGACCACATAGACAGACAATGATGGTCCCATAAGATTAAAACGGAGATGAAATATTATTATTGCCTAGTGATGTGGTAGCTGTCCTAACATCATAGCGCCACACTTTACCAACTTGTTTGTTGTGATATTGGTGTGAACAAACCTACTGCCCTGTCTATCATATAAAGGGATAGCATATACAATTATGTACAGAATACTTGATAATGGGAATAATTGGCTGTTGCTGGTTTATATATTTTATATACTATACTTGTTATGGTTATTTTAGAGTGTACTCCTTCTACTTACAAAAAAAAAATGTTAACTGTAAACTGCCTCAGACAGGTCTTTTAGGAGGTATTCTAGAAAAAAAAGCATTGTTCTCATAGGAGACGACAGCTCTATGCATGTTACTGTCCCTGAAGACCTTCCAATGGGACAAGATGTGGAGGTGGAAGAGACAGAGACAGGGATATCGATGATTCTGACTGATGTGTAGGCCTAGGCTAGTATGTGTGTTTGTGCCTTAGCTCTAAACAGAAAAGCGTAAAAGGTTAAAAATAAAAATAACAACTTAAAAAATAGAAAAAAGTTTATAGAATAGAATTTAAGAAAAACATTTTTGTATAGCTGTTCATTGTGCTTGTGTTTTAAGCTGTTATTACAAGAGTCAAAAGGTTTATAAAATTTAGAAGTTTATAAGGTAAAAAATGGTACAGTCAGCTACGGTTTCTTGAAGAAACAATTTTTAAAATAAATTTAATGTAGTCTTAGTGTACAGTGTTCATATATAAAGTCTACAATAGCTGACAATGTCCTAGGCCTTCACATTCACTTGCCACTCACTCACTGATTCACTCAGAGCAATTTCTAGTCCTGTAAACTCCAGGTAAGTGCCCTGTAGGGTGTATCATTTTTTATCTCTTACAGTGTATTTTTACTGAAGCTTTTCTATGTTTAGATACATGAATACCACTGTAATACAACTGCCTACAGTATTTAGTATAGTTGCATGCTATACAGGTTTGTAGCCTAGAAGCAATAGGTATACCATGTAAATGGCATATCATATAGCTTAGGGCTGTAGTAGGCTATACCATCTAGGTTTGTGTGAGGACCCTCAATGATGTTTGCACAACAATGAAATCACCTAATGATGCATTTCCCAGAGCATATCACCACCGTTAAATGACATGTGATTTTATTTAAATCTCAAACCATATATGGTGCTTTTGTCATGTAACGACTTAGCTAGGTAAACTACATTTCCCAGAATTCTCCATTAGACCATAATAGAGATTTTTATGGGATAATTGGAGAGCCAAGAAGCTTACACATATGGATATGGTAAAGTCCCTGTAACAAGTATATGCCTCTTACTGGTTCTGCTTCTCTGATGGAACCCTAATTAATCCCATAAAATTGATTGAATACAATGGGTTGAATTCTGTAAATTATTTATCATACATAAGAACTAGACCTCTATTACCAGGTTCCATTTTATTCCAATAACGATGACTTATAGTTGGACCAAAATTTGGGTGAACAAATCCAAATGGTCAATGAGGGAGAGAGATAATACAAATCTTTGTTCAATTAACTAGGTTAATTTTCTCCAATGTTAATAGGCAGTATCAAAGAGTTTGGTTATGGGTTTTTGACAAAATATTTTTCCCTTAGGAAGAAAAATTGACCTGTTGCTTAACATACTGAAGCTTTACATTAGTGAATTATTCTCTATAAATATATATCTGAAATGTTTTACTTTATTAAAGTATATTTTGCTTTAAATATCATTACAATTACAGACAAATGTAAGAATAAATCTAGCAACTAAAGAAAGGTTCTTATCTTCTAAAATGGCCAGATACTTATCAGTTACTGTACATAAAATAACTACAGAACAATGTTTGCTCTTTAGGATTTTAGAAATCAGTTTGAATAAATTATTCAAATATTCTATGTTTTTCTTTGGGCATAATCAGAAAAAACGGTTAGAAGAGACAATAATATGGGTCTGGGGAAGGAAATACAAAGATTCTGAATCCAATTTTTGGGGCGTATGGGATTGTAAAAAAGAATTTTGAATATCATTCAATATCTTTCCTAATCTGGACTTGTTTTGAGAAATAGCTGTTCTCAAAATACAACAGCCATAGAAGGGAAGAGGGAACCAGTTCTTGTGCAACCTCCACCTTCTAATCCCAGTCAGAAGACCCTGGCCTTTCAGGAATTTTGAGAAATTCTCATCTAGATACCGAAAAATCCCTGTAAAACCACTTGACACCTAGTTTGAAAGGACGTTATTTCTAAAATTGGTCTGCTTTTTGCAAAATAATTCAGAAGGGCATAAAGAACAGAGGATGCATTAAGAAAGTGCCATTGCTATAGCAACTGAGGCGAGAATTATAATTAATTATTTTTATCTCATCTGTGTATTCTGTAGGAACTTTGAAAGGGAAGAAGTAGAACTCAAGAAACTAAGTAATGGATTGGAAGTCACATATGACTCGAAAGCTTTCTTCATGTTTTCTGAATCTATAAAAACTCCATTATCACCTCTCCATCAATTCCTCCTTCTCACCAACAGGAGGAAGATGTTCTGGCCCAATTCATTGGATTTCTTGTGGAAGTTCCAATAGACTAATGGGCTCCAACAGAAAAGTTGGTTCCAACTGAGATTTTTCACAAAATGTTTCGTGGTAAAAATTGGTCTTATTGTCATACATTATAAACTGATTAAGTTCTTAAACTTGATGGCAAAATCATCATCTGAGTTATTTCAAGACATTCTCTTATGAAACAACAAAAACAAAAACAAAATCTTAACAGATACTGAATTCTAAATAAACTGAAGACACACAGCTTGGAACCCTAACTGCTTTCCTTTCTACTAACAGATACTGTCACACTTGCCCAGTTCTGAATCCAATCAAGACTTAGTGAAACATTTTATTTCATTTATTAATGATATAAAGGAAAAAAGAGAAAGACCTTTGGTGCATCCTCTATACACCAAATTTAGCAGAAAGTAAGTCTTAAATTAAATTGTAATGACTCAACTTTCCAAACAATGCCATGTTGTCTTCTAGACTCACCCTGTGTATGTATATTGGCCTGCCCAGGACTGGTATTTATTATGAGCTATTTGAATTTCAGTCATTTATTCATATCCCTTATGTCAGGCTCTCATTAAAATTTATTCACAAGCAAGTAGTAGGTAATACTGGCAATCCAGTGTGTACCTCCCACCTTTAACCAGATACTAAAGCCCAGTGATTGTTCACTCTTACTAAGTTGCACTTAGGTCTGTGGGTGAGGTCAGAAACTTGCTTTACATAACTTTTTTACAACAAAGAAAGTATCATTCTCTGATGTGCAAATTGCACTAATAAGGTGACTCTTTCTGAGGTTAAGTTACATGCCCTGAGCAAACTAATTTTCCCCTTACAGTATGTACAAAAACTTTACTTCCAGGTGGTAGAGGTAGCAGCACCAGTTTGTGCAGTACCCTAGTCTCTAGGGCCAAGATACTAGGATTATAAAAACCTCTCAGCTTTGATAGGGTTGGTGCTACCTGCTCCCACTGTGGGTACATGCTATCACCCTGCTCTCCTAATGCTTGAAGGTGGAGTCCGCTCCCAACCTTGTTCTTATAAGGTCCCACCCGCTGGATCCAATGTAGAATGTAACCTAAGCAGCCTTAGGAAAGTAAGACATCACATTCCAATATTGAAGGAAAGAACTGTGTATCTTTAGTTCTATAACTGTAAAATGTCCACAACTAAGCTTCAAACTTCCTAACCTTATTTCAAGCTTACACAGTGGGACAGGTCTGGGACAGCCCAGCATCCAACTTGAGAGGCCATTAATCATTTTAAGGATCTATGTTTCTTTTGAATTACCTTACCTTGCATTCTTTTTTACTCTAGAGTAAAAACCTCAAACAGGGGTAATGGATCTCTATTTTCCTGAGAGGTGAAAGTTGTCTGGGATTGCTGCCAAAGAAGCTCTGAAGAGAAAGGCCATGTCAACTATGCTGAACAGCAAGAGTGAACTATGCTGTAAAATCATCAAGAGACCCAAATAAAATGATACAGAGAATCTTCAGGAGGGATTAAAAAGCTCTTTACCTTAGAATCCCTGCCTATGGGCCTGGGAAGCTTTCTTTGTTGTTCTCAATTACTGTCAGCTATTTCCTTTTCATACCTGTCCTGAGATAAAGCAGGGACCCCCTTTTTTTTAGGGTCCTGTGGACCTCCAGAGATGGAAATAAAGTAAAATCCTGAATTCCTCCAAGGGAAATGCCAGGTACCTAGCTAGCTAATCACAGAAGCAAATAAGTGACTTGTTAAAGACTTGTTACGGCCAGATGGTAGAGGCTGTGCTGCTGTCTCTACCACCTGGCTGTAACAGGGCCAGGCGAGGTGGCTCCCACCTGTCATCACAGCACTTCCGGAGGCCTAGGTGGGTGGATCACCTGAGGCCAGGAGTTTCACCATGTTGACCAGCCTGGTGAACATGGTGAAATCTTGTCTCTAATAAAAATACAAAAATTAGCCAGGCGTGGTGGCAGTTGCCTGTAATCCCAGCTACTTGGGAGACTGAGGCAGGAGAATTGCTTGAACCCGGGAGGTGGAGGTTGCAGTGAGACATGCCTATACCATTGCACTCCAGCCTGGGCAACAAGAGTGAAACTCTGTCTCAAAAACAAAAAAAAAAGAAGGTAATAGTAGTATAAAACTATAACCAAGGAAGTTAGAGTTCACAGATTTTTGTTTTCCTTATAGAAACTAAAAATGATATTTTCACATATGTCCCTGAGTTGTTTTCCAGAGACTCACACCCCTGATGAGGATGTCCATCAAATGGATCCACTGGCCTGTAGACCTCAGATAAGGGAAAATTGAAGACTCAACTCTGACCATCATTCTTTCTTCCAGAGGGGCTTGGAGAAAATTGCACCCCTCAGCTAGTTAGCACTTTTCTGCTGATCCCAAATTTTTGAACAAAGTTCTCTCCCTTAACCAATTGCAAATCAGAAAATCTTTGAAACTACCTATGACCTATAATCCCCTGCTTCAAGATATGCCACTTTTTAGGCCAAAACCAATCTGTAACATCCATGTATTGATTTATTATTTTAACAGTAGCTTCTGCTTTCCTGAAATTTACTCCTAGCTTTCAGGGTTTGAGTGTTTAGCTGCCTGGTCCTCCTTGCCTGCTGCTCTGGAAATGCCTTTTATTTATTTATTTAGAGATGGAGTCTTACCCTTGTTGCCCAGGCTGGAGTGCAGTGGCACGACCTCGGCTTACTGCAACCTCCACCTTCTGAGTTCAAGCAATTCCTCTGCCTCAGAATCCCGAATAGCTGGTATTACAGGTGCCTGCCCTACCACACCCGGCTAATTTTTGTATTTTTAGTAGAAACGAGGTTTTGCCACGTTCGTCAGGCTGGTCTTGAACTTCTGACCTCAGGTGATCTGCCTGCCTCAGCCTCCAAAAGTGATGGGATTACAGGGATGAGCCACTGTGCCCAGCCATGCCTTGCTTTCTATTGCTGCAAAACCTTGGTGAAGACATCTAGTTTTACAGCACCAGGTGAGTGGGCCCCAGTTCAGTTCTGTAACAGTGCCACAGTTACCAAACACCATATGTTTCACAAATTTCCTGTCTCAAGATTCCTAAGCATGTTGTTTCCTTTTCCTAAAAGGCTCTTTTCCTTTTATTCCTGGATATGTATCAACATATCCAGACACCTTAGATCTTCTAAAGCACAGGTCATATGTGGCTTCCTCTAGAGAACCCTCCATCTATCCTAGCCTTCTCTTATGCCTCAAACCTCAACCTTACTGTCAATTTATCTTCTTCCTGTCTGTTCCTTCTGAGAAATAAAAAGTATTCTGAGGAATAAAAAAGAATACTGAAAGCTTGCCATCACTACCTACTAGATTTTAACCCTGTCATGCTCTCCTTATTATCCACTGAATCATATTTTTATATTAGAATAATTTTCCCTTATTGAATTTCAAAAATCTTTTCTCATGCAACCATCTGAACAATATTCAATAAGAAGTTGGCCAGGTGCAGTGGCTCACACCTGCTATCGCAGCACTTTGGGAGGCCGAAGTCAGAAGGTTGCTTGAGTCCAGGAGTTGCAGACTAGCCTGAACAACATATTGGGACCCTGTCTCTACAAAAAAGTAAAAAAAAAAAAAATTAGCTGGGCTTGGTGGTATATACCTGTAGTCTCAGTTACTTGAGAGGCTGAGGTGGGAGAATCGCTTGAGCCCAGGAGGTTGAGGCTGTAGTGAGCTGTGTTGTGCCACTGCACTCCAGCCTAAGTGACAGAGAGAGACTCTAACTCAAAAAATTCAAAACAATAAATAAAATAAGAAGTTTATATCAGTTTAACAGATAATAAACTAAAGCTCAGTGAACATATATAACTTTCTGAAGATCATTCAATCAACAAGAGAAAAAGCTACTCTGATTCCAAATCTATTACTCTTTTCAATGCACCATGATGCTTTCATCACATGAGATAACATGTGATTTCAAATTTATTACCAATGAGCTTCAAGTAACTTAAGATTAATCTTTAAACTAGTACCACAGTCCTACATTATTTAGAGAAGTAAAAATTTTTTTTAAAATCTCCAATATGTTTAGATAAATTCGTATGTCCAAATAATTAGTAGGCCAGATCCATAAATAATTAGTAAATAATGAGCTGACAACCCCTAGTGATGATAGTAACACATTACCTGCCTAGCAGTCAGTTACCATGAGGTGTATTTTGCTGTTATGATTTTGCATGTGTTAATTAGAAAGGAAAAACTGCCTTGTCCAACAAGAAGCTCATTATCACTAAGCAAAAACTTGGGTACCAAGAAAGGGCTCGGCTAATTCTCCTTATTCTTAAACAAATCATTAGATTCTTTATTCTATCCAAAGTCAGTCAGTAAGGTGTTCTTAATCCAGAGGTTAAATAAGTCAAGTTCTGGAGAACAGGAAGAATTAATTTGCTTTTCATAAATCGACAAATTTATTTTTAGGTTGACACGTTTTGTCAACACAGTTGTTCACTCAGGTGGAAATTTCCTTTTTCTTGATTCAATTTGATAACGATTTGAGATGTTTAATTACATTTCTCTATCTGTGTTTGGATTTCAAAAAACCTAAATTTCACAGCAAGAAGACTTACGTCACATCTCCATTCTCCAACATTTCCCCAATAATCTAATAGACTGCTCTTTGTTGGAAAATGAAATATCCAAACAGGCAAAATTCTTCCATTTCTTGACTTTCTTAAGGTTTGGCACATGGAGAAACAAAGCATGTAGGAGGCACCGTGAAGTAGTAGAAGGGGCCTTACCGTGCTGGAGACTTGTATTCTGGTTCCAGCTCTTACACCCAAGGACCAGCAGTGTGACTTTAAGAAGGCTAGCCAATCTCTGCCAATCTCTGCAAAGTTCAGTTAACAAAATGTCTGGACAAGGATTCTTACTAAACTCCTCTCTCCTCTATGATTGGTTCATATGAATTGTCTATAGGCCTTGACAGGGCAATGCCTTTTGATTCAAAACTCAAAAGCTCAGTAAGTGGCTTTCGCTTGTTCAGCCTAATACATCTCAGGGAGCATTATATATATATGGATTCACCCTGAAATTTCTTTGAAATGCAAGAACTCCCTAATAAGACACATACTTCATGACTAAAGATGTGATATTTGTCTATTTTTTTTTCTTAGTAACAATGTAGGAGGAAGTTATAAAAATCTGAGTGGGAAAAACGTTCTTAAATTAGCTGCTGTAGTGATATGAGTTAGTTACAAGAACCCTAAATTACATAGGAGCTCAAAACTTCACCCTATGTATTTGTCAAAACTGGACAGAGGAGAAGGCTGATTGATTGCTTTCTCATCATATAATATAAACCATAGATTCAGGTTCAGTATGCAGGAATCAAATTAAAAAAGAACCAGAGTTTAGGTAGAAGATGGAAAATTAGTTTGCAAGTAGCTTTGAAACAGAACATAAGGGTCTATGGAAAAAAATCACAAGAGAGTAAAAGACATCAAAAATTTCAGAGTGAAACGTGATATAATCAAAGAATTCAGTTCCTACCAATATCAGAATGCTGCTGTTAAATATTTCTTATTACTGCTAAGCTTATTAAATCATATGATCAATGACAGAAGAAATTGGAATGAAAGAAAATTGATTCTGTACACACATCTATGTTTAGCTTCAGCTGAGATAACTGACAATTCAGCCTGTTTAAATTGCAAAGGAAAATGCCTATATAGAGTAATAGTTTCCCTGTCTACACAAGATGGACAAACTTCTTAGCTGGCAGATTTTAAGACAAAGGTATAAAATACTACTACCTCACATTTACTGTTCCATACAGCTTTTCAGATAATTTTTAAATGTATTTAAAATGTATGAGATGCTCACAGTAACTCTGTGATTAGACAGACCCAGAATCCTCACTTCTTTGTGCACATGGGAAATCTACAGCACAGAAATGTTAAGGGAATTGGCCAGGTTCATACTATTGTAAACAGAGATAGTATTCCATTGGACCCATGCCCTCTGGGTATGAAACTCTTCTATTCTAATTTTCCAAAAATGATTTGACTAGAATATGCCCTTTAAGATCCACTTATAGGGCTGCCTTGTTTTACATTTTCTGTATGGGCATAATAATTAGCTCTACAGTTTTCCAAGGTTCAATCTCTTTTTTAAAAAAGGATTTAAATAATGACCAAAAGGACAACACTTCCCTGAACCACCTCCCTTTCAGGTGAC